ATAAAGACAACATTCTTATGAGTAAAATGAAGTAAAATCTTTGTCAATTAGTCGATTTACAACTCAGAAAAGAAGTGTTGAAAATAGAGTCATAAAACAATTAACGTTTATTGACTTTCGCGGTAGGGGGTAACGCGGGGTCGGTTGACAAATTTTCTCGCAGTAGTGCAAAAGTTCTACTCACTTCGCTTGAAAGTGTCATATTTCTTCCCCACTTACAAACAAACCCGATGGCAATCGGTGAAACGGGAGATAAATTACAGCGAGTTGAAATTTGATATGTTTATTTTTTTGCGTTTTTCGTATCGAATTACATAAAAATAAATATTAAAAAATTCATTTTGTCAATATGCAAGTAATTTATATCACTAGATAGAAAACAAAGCGCAGAATTCAACTAATAAACTGTAGTTTCTTTACGCGATAGGTAAAATTGAATTATTTCATATTAAAAACACTGGGTCTGTAAGACCCATGCGACTCAAGTAAGGGCCCCATTCCTAGCGACTTACGGATGGTTAAATTATTAAACATAATTTAAAATAAAATTATATTTAAAAAAACTAATTTCGTTGTTTTTTAATTACCTTATTAAAAATGCCTTTTTCAATTGTATCGGGGTCGCGGGTCACTTGACTTTTATAAAAAGGGGTCGCCACCCGAAAAAGGTTGGGAACCGTTGTAATAGAGGTACTGTACATCACCGAATTTCCGGCACCATTCGTTTTAAAGCCTTGTCAGATTAATTATTTTCTGGACCATCCATGACCGCAAGTAATAATTGATCAACATGCCTCCAACCCACAAATTAGACACTTCCCACATGTTCAAAATTATATCGTAAAGGAAATACAGATAAAGCTGATAAACCATGCCACAGATATAACATGATTACGCACTGAAATCCTTGTTTTAATAGTTCTACTTTAATGGTAATGAGGAAATATACATAAGGTTGTGGTTATCAACAGATGAATTTAATGCAAGAATGACCACTCAGAAGACAATTCTACTTTATCTTGAACGATAAGGACTGGATTTACGTTATACACCACCATTAAAACTAATATCTGTCGTTGAAGCCATAACTGGGGTTAATTTTAAGCAAAATAAATTAAGAATTTCACAGATTGTTGTACCACCACAAAAAAACTAGTGCATATGTTAGGCTCAAAGACCGAAATCGCTCATTGAGCGAAAAAACGGCCAGAACGCGTTGTGGCTAATTGAAAACTACAACAAAGCGAAATTCGTGTTGTGGCTTTTATTATACAGTGTTTGACCACGACGCGTTCTGGTTAGGTTAGGTTAGGTTACTTGGTTACTTTTCAACAACATGTAATCATTTGGGACAATCTGTTGCGGTACTCGATACTTCAATGTTTTGTAACTACTAATTTACTAAAAATAATTACTTTGTCTGGAACTTTTATTAATAATCAGTCTTTTTATGAGAACAAGAATGTTTTAGAGTTATTTATTCTTACAAAAACTATTACCGTGACATTTCGAGTTGCATTTTATGATCTTTAAGCGACATTTGCATTTTTTATCAATACAGTATCTTTTACAGCAGTGTTTCTCAACATCTAACGAATCGTCGCCCCCTTCAATAAAACCGTTACGTAGTATCCCTTCTTTACTTCGAAAAAAATTTTGTCGGGTTTATTAGTTTATTGATAATTACATACTTTGTAAAAAATGAAACATTTATGTACTAGAATAATGTTATTTGTTTAATTATTTTAAGATATAACGAAGAAAATATCTAATTATTCTCAATATAATGTTTTACTATATCGTCCAGAAAATTGTTTTATGTCCCCAAAATATAAATTGTTAATAATCACCCCCAACCTGGATAAACGGCCACATGGGGCGATATCGTCCCCGTTGAGAAACAATGTTTTACAGTTACACATTAGCAACCCTCGCTTACTTCCAGGTGTTAACGTAGATACTGAGCGAAGTGTGAAGTTGAGGGTACGTCCTGAATGCTAATATAGTTACTCTCAGAAATTGTAAATTCATTACGAGCATAAAGTCGATTAAGAAGACCCTTGTTTCCTAACTGATAGAGACCCAATGAATTAATGTTCATAACAACAGCTAAAACATTTCTGGGAGCTGCATGTCTCCGATCAACAGCAGGCACCCTAACTAAAACATTTGAATCAATTTCAACCTATCCGAGTAACCTTGCCTAACCTAACCAGAACGCATCGTGGTCAAATATCATGAGAGCCACGACACGAATTTGGCATTGTTGTCATTTTGAGTTAGCTACAAAGCGTTGTGGCAGTTTTTTTTGCTCAATGTGCTATTTCAATCTTTGAGTCTAACACATATAATATACAGTAAATAAGCGCTTTCTATACACAACGCCAAATGTGGCTGCTCAATAAACTTGTCTGGTGCCGAGAGAACTGCAAGTTCTCTCTAGTAATTTCTTCCGGATTAAAGGAGAAGATATCCCAACAATTGCCGGAAGTTCGATGGTGTACATGTACTAATAACAGAAAAAAATTTGTAAGTTTATTATTTTGTCACAATGTAGTTTGCAGATGTTGTGACAAATACTATGCCACTATCTCACAAGACATTTCAGCAAGTGGATTTCTCAACAGTGTCAAATGTCGAACCAATTCATTTCTATATGAAGCGGTACAAAAAGAAACTCACTTGGCAATCAGTTGTGAACCCGTTCACAAAACAGGTAAAAATTTTTTGATAAGTCTTGAAGAATTTCTTAAATCCGGTGAAAAATTATTCTCTCTAAAACGTATTATTTACTTTTTCTTATTGTTCCGTGAAAGGTTTGGTTGGCCTTGATCTTTACCATTACAGTCTTTGGATTAATATTCCGGAAATTCGTGAAAGACAATAAAGGGGAACCTTGGACCTTAAGGAGAACGTACTGGTATTTGACGACAATGTTAATGTATCAAGGTAAATCCACACAATAAACACTGTTTTTTAATATATAATAGTGAATTATAATTTTTGGAGTTAATTTTCAGGAGTCGACTGCAACAACGTGAATCGTTCATCTTCTAGAATAGCATTTGGCATCTGGTTGCTCATGACAGCAGTCTTGATCTGGGGTTACGCCGGAATATTGACGTCATTTATGGCCGTACAGACTGACGAACCGGTTCCTAACTCATTCGACGAATTAGAAAGAGCCATTAAAAGACGAGAATATACATGTGTACTGCTTCCGCATCTTTACTTAAGTCGATTCTTAAATGTAAATATTACATTTAAATGTTCTACTATTTCATTTTTACAGTTTTTATATTGATTGATATAAATTTATTGTATTTCCTTTCCTTAATCTCGAGAATAGAGATAGATAGATGAAATCCGAGACCAGATTTAAAAACATTCAGGGCAGGAGGTCCAGATTTACAGTATATGAACTTCCAATGAAAAATCACGTTATTTTTACTCAAAATTTCCCCCTGTAAAGAGTTAAATAAATAATGGCGTGACTGTTGCTAACAGAAAAAATATAATATACTGGGGCTTGATAACAGGAAAAGTATTATGTACAGGGAAAGACACTACTAATTTGGGGTGAATAGCAAATATTTTGAACTAAATAAATTTTTCAAATATGATTAAAAATTGCAGTCCAGTATTGTGACCACATCAAAATAAATAATTGGTCGTATTATACTTATTTTCTATTATTTAAACATTAAAATAAATTATATATTTAGTCTCTTAAATCAATGTATAATATGGTTTATGATCAAAACTGTGACTTTGGCGAATTTCTTGTTAAATGTTCTACGCAGATTTCTACGTTTGAATAACATTTTTACTGATAATATTTAAGTAATTATTTTTATTGCTGATTCCTGACACACAAAAAGAATTATTTTTTATTTTAAGTATTCTATTAGTAAAGTATTATGTTTATGTGCAATTGAATACTATTTGAGTATAAATTATTAAAAAAGGATGTCTTCTTGTNTTTCAAACATCCTAGTACTTGTGTAATCGCGGGTCCTTCCCAATCTGGAAAAACCACATTAATGAGGAAAATGATTCACAACAGAATTTATGAAAATGCTCCGAAGAAGATTTTATGGTGTTACTCCGTATATTTACCGTTTTTCAAAAAAAAAAGGATATTACATTTATGTACGGCTTACCCGAATCTGTTCAAGGATGGGATTTGACAATCATCGATGATCTGATGCATGAACTGTCTCCAAAAACAGCATTTTTGTTTACAACAGAATCTCATCACTGTAATGTAAGTGTGATTTTAATAATGCAAAATTTGTTTCCAAAAANCTATCTTCTTCATTTTAGAGCCGTAATTCTGGTAATTTCACTCCTGAATGTTTCTGGCAAAACAAACATTTGTTTAAATAACATCAATAAAAGTGAAAATTAGCGAAATTAGAGTTGAAGACGATGAAAATGGCGATTAACTAACGTTTATTTACATTCTGACATTGATTTAAGTGAAAGGCTAATTCTTATCGCAGTCAATTTCCCACCAGACAATTCTGAGAAGATGCTTACTCGATTAAACGAAATAAAAAAACTATATGTTAGCTAATTAGTCCCTAAACATTATGAGAGCTGATTAGATATAAAGAAAAAATTACAACTACACGACAATCATATCGCATAGCTATCATTATTATAAAATCTAATAATCTAAATGAATCTGATAAAAATGCTTTAATTTATAATCTGCAATTATTATCTATTCATTTTCCATCGCTAAACAACAAAACTAAACTAAAACGAGAGCGTAAACTACATTTTAATTAATTATAAATGAAATCGCTGCGTTTAATTGCGTTACGACTTTTTTGTCGCGCAATACGCAACGCGCGACAGAAAAAAAACAAAAATAAATTATGACAATACAAATTGTGAAAATTACAAAATTTTATATAATTGCATTTTTATAACATTCAGGTATTGACATGGATGTATTTTTTAAGTATTATTTTGTAAAGATTTTATATTATGAACAAAACAAATTTCAGAATCGAGAACATGTCGTAAATTGCCGAATTTTTGATGCTCCACCCATTAGTTTTTCGATCGCTTCATTTCATGCAAAGAAAAAACATTTATAACTAAACTATCAGCAAATAATTTTGACGGATTCTATAATATTTTGAACGATGTCAATTTTTGAAAATAGGTGATCGAGTTAAGCCAAACACACGACAATATCAGATAAAAAATTAAAAATAAAATTTATGTCTAAAAATCTTACGAAACTATCCATTAAGTCATAAAGACAACATTCTTATCAGTAAAATGAAGTAAAATCTTTGTCAATTAGTCGATTTACAACTCAGAAGAGAAGTGTTGAAAATAGAGTCATAAAACAATTAACGTTTATTGACTTTTTCGGTAGGTGGTAACGCGGGATCTGTTGACAAATTTTCTTGCAGTAGTGCAAAATTTCTACTTACTTCGCTTGAAAATGTCATATTTCTTCCCCACTTACAAACAAACCCGATGGCAATCGGTGAAACAGGAGATAAATTACAGCGAGTTGAAATTTGATATGTTTATTTTTTTGCGTTTATCGTATCGAATTACGTAAAAATAAATATTAAAAAATCAATTTTGTCAATACGCGAGTAATTTATATCACTAGAGAGAAAACAAAGCGCAGAATCCAACAAAGAAATTGTAGTTTTTTTATGCGATAGATAAAATTGCATTATTTCATATTAAAAGCACTGGGTCTGAAAGACCCATGCGACTCAAGTAAGGGCACCATTCCTAGCGACTCACGCAGAATTAAAAGTAGACTAAAACGATTAAAAAAAAACATGTTCGCTATGAAATAGACAAAATAAATATTTAAAAACAATGAAAAGCTCTTACACAAACCAAAACAAACACTGATACACAGCACAGTAGACCAACAGTACCAACAGAAGAACTCACAAAATATTGCTTTTCTCTTTAGTTTTGTGCTATTACACACAATGCAATTCTGACGCAATGTTTATAGAAATAATCTTTGCATATCTTGATAATTACAATATATATTAATTTTGGTAATTGCGAAAAATGTATTTAATTATTGAAACTGATATTTTCTCTGAGAAGAAACTTTAAATCTTAGAAACAAAAAGTCACTTACGTTTTTTGCAGTGTTGTATTAGAATTTCGTATTTTTTTTCTGAACTCATTATGTAGAAAATTATTAATTACTTTTATATCTACATACGTGCGTACGATCTTGTTACATCAAATATAGAAAAATGTTTACTAAACTCAACTAATTATATTAAATGATAACTTAAATTCATTACAGCACCGAATATGTTACATCACAGCTTAAAGACTCACTTCCCACAGAAAACATCACAACGCATTTAAATTTACGTTTAGTTATTTTTATTGTAATAATAATACATTACAGTAATAAAATAAAACTTAAGTTCCGAGAACAAGCGATGAAATTAAGAAATTACACGTAAATTACGTAACCGATTGTGTGTTGTTATGCAGATAATAGTTACTATGTTCAGGAGTATTTTACTGCACTGTTCTGTAAGTTACACATGTAGTTAATAAAATAATTTAAATTCCAATATACTGTGTTTCGTATTATTCTTTATTGCTATTAAGGGGATCGAAGATATGTGTTACAACACGTTACAGCATGATAAGCTGGAAGTTAAAAGGTATAAAACTACGCTGAATTGTTTAAAACTGGCTAACCGCTGTCGTAACATTTTTCGCTTTTTCCTTACTAGAATAAAATACAACGCAAATAGTCTAACCAGAAATAAGTTACTGTTTTTATTGTTCAGTATATTCTAAAGAAGAATTGTCGGGCATATAAGCGAATTTTTTATAAATACAACTGCTGAAATTAATTCCCAAATTNTAACTACTTCCGTTTTGTTTGATAATTTCTTTATCGATTTGCAATTCTCCTTTAAAATAATTTTTCCTTGGGGTTCGGGGAGAGCAAAAATGGACTTCCTTTCCACTTTCTAAAATTAATCTTTTATTTTCTCGATCTATCGTGATATTTCCCTCCATAAGGAAATCTTTACCTAATATACCATCACACGGTATAAGTTCTTTGGTATCAACTATTCTCGCAATTCTTTTAAATTTTAATCCCCTAAATTTAAATGTCGGCAGTGCTATGCCACTTAAGAGAACAGTTTTTCCCGGACTATTTTCCATTTCTAGCGGCTCAGTAATATGTACTGGAGCATTATTTTTTAGGATTCGTGCAATTCGTGTTGATAAGAGCGTATTTTTAGCCTCTTCATCGATTAGGACCTTTATAGGTATATTATTAACGTACACAAGTACAATAGGTTTAATTTCAGCACCAACAGTGTTTAACCTTCCTTTCCAAAAAGTTTTCTTCCATTTAGGATTTGTTGCTCCTTCTTTATACCTGGGACGTGTTTTTCTCTCCTTACGGAAATTCCTGGGGTGTCGCCTTCTTGATTCTTCTACGCTATTGATCACACTCCTCCAGTTATTTTTATATCTATTAGTTCTATTAGGCTCATCCCTATTCATTTTATCTAAATCATAACGAGTATTATTTCTATACGTCTCCCGACAGAAGCCGACTGTTTTGTGGACGGTTTCCATTAGGAACTTGTTCTGTCGATCGGAAATATTTTGTATTTCGTCCTCTACCCTCATCCCTTTTCTCCTGGGATTGTCTTACAAATGTATTAAATTGATTTCTTACGTCCCCTATAGCCTTAACTACTTCTTCCATTTGTCTTTCGGGATCAGATTCAGTTTCCCTTAAAAATTCTCCTTCATTAACTGCTAATTCTTCTTCTTCTTTTATTACTTTTACCAGACCCCTAGGATGAGAAGTGAGGAGCTCTATATTCTCCTCATTTATTGCTATTTTCAGGGCTTGGTCGAAGGTCTCTGGTTCTCTGGACATAATCCTTTTTCTTATCCTTATGTCGACCCCATTCATAAATTGGACTTTCAACCTCTCGTCCAATTCTTTTTCTTTGACTCGTTTTATGACTTCTATTTCGGCTTCGTTCGCGCCCTCGTGTTCAATCTCAACCTCCTCGGCTAAGGCCTGGAGTCGTACGGCGTATGTCTGTACGTCCTCATC